GCGGGCGCGACACCGAGGGTTGCGATCCAGTTACCGGTCAGTAAAAAAAGACAAAAAGGAAAAAAAAAAAAAGGAAGAGTTCTATGGAACTTCATTACATAGACAAGATTGACTAAATCATCAGCCATTGGTTTATCAACTCAGTTTTTGGCCCTCTTCCCTTCCTGGGGTGGTGGGACTGAAAGTTCCAACCCAGGGCAAGAAGTGGGAGGGAGAGGGGCACTGGGGAGAGGTTGGGTGGGTGACGCGGGGAATGATTGCAGTTTGAGATTGTGGGGCATGCTGATAGCATTGATTTGCTCACCACATCTTGGGCACAGGTGCTGATGGTCAGCACTTGCCCCATGAATATGTATAATAAAAGAAAAAAAAAGTTCCAACCCTTTAATCACTCAGTTGGTTCCCCTGATAACCCCCTCCCACACCCCCGACCCCTGTTTCTGAGGCTATCTAAGGGCCCCCAACCACTTCATTGGCATGGAAAAGGCACTCATCACTCCGGAGAGTCCAAAGATTTTAGGAGCTGTATGGGGATGGAGATCAAATATATGTTTTTCAATATCACAAGCTCAGAGGGAAGACACTACAAGTAGGCAGGCCAAGAAAGGCAGTAAGCCTCTTTCCTGACTCACAGACCTGGCAGATTCGGGGGCTGTGTGGTGGGTCTGAGAGGCTCTCCCACCCTAGGCATCCATTATACAGAGGGGGAGACAAAGGACACGAGAGGCTAAGTCTCATGCAAAGGCAGGGCAGAGCAGGAGCTTGCCTGGAAGGAATGCATGGGACAGAGGGGCGTGCCAAGAGGGATGAGGGTGGAGAGAAAGCAAAAGAGGGCTCCAGGTTCCTGCTGTCCCCAGGGTGGTGGCCTGAGGATTAGGACCCTGGAGGCCCAACCTAGAGGGCAGCTGGTCTCTGTGGGATCTTTGGGCCTTCCCCCATCTCAACTACCATGGAACATCCACTACCTGATTTTGAGTCCCAACTCCACCATTAGCTGCTGTGTGATTCTAGGCAGGTCACTGCCCACTCTGAGCCTCAGCAACTCTGTGTCTTCAGAGACACTGTGGAGCTCGGGGTAAAATGACAAATTTTAGACATAAATGATGTTTATTGTTATGCAAGTTTCACTCAGCCAAGTCTGACTCCTCTGCTTCTATACAGCCTCTTCTTTGAGCCTTGTCCTTTCTCCCAGTTTCCCTGGAGAGGTGGCCACTGGCAGGGCCAAAATAAAGGTTGCTGGGGACCACAGACATCAGGTGCCTGGGCTGGTAGGGCCCCAGACTGTCCAAAGTAGGGTCAGGAGCATAAACTTTGTTTCAGACAGATGTAGAATCAAAGACTGGCTGTGCCTTGCACTATTTGGGAGACCTTGGGCTGGTCACTCAGCTTCCTCTTCCCATGGTGGCCCAGGAACAGGACATGCCTTGGACCATTGTGAAGGTTATGTCAGCAGAGAATTTCAAACCATGTTGTTGCCAAATGGACTAACAGGTCATGAAATCCATTTAGAGAGGCTCAGCAAGTTTTTTTTTTTTTTGGTGTTTTTGGCAGCTAGCCAGTATGGTGATCAAAACCCTTGAACTTGGTGTTGTCAACACTGTGTTCTAACCTATTGAGCTAACCAGCCAGCCCTCTCAACAAGTATTTTTAAAGACTAGAGTAGGATAGGCCAGGATAGAAAACACCACAGTAGATTGCATCCGGGAGGACAAGGTCTCCATGATCATGCTCTACAGAGTTTGTGATGTGAAGATTATTTCTTACTATGTGCCATGGTCAAAGAAATTTGAAAGCCCCTGAGCTTATCCATGGAATCAGTACAATGCCTGGCCCATCTAATCTCACAGCCTGGGACCAGTTACACCCCTCATGCAGATCTTCATGCAGATCTTCTTGGGGGTAGATGCTGGTTGTGCAGTTTTTCTAGAACAGGCCCCCTGCATGCTCAGCAGGCAGAAGTCCAGGTTGGAGTGGAGGGGTGGCTGGTGCTGATTCTCCATTCGTTACCCAGGGTAGAACTTGTCCAGCTGGCCAGTGAATCTGATGCCGTGAACTTGGGCCAGGGCTTCCCTGACTTCCCGCCCCCAGACTTCGCCGTGGAAGCCTTTCAGCAAGCCATCAGCGGGAACTTCATGCTCAACCAGTACACCAGGGCGTTCGTGAGTCTCCCGGCCTCTCCTGGAAGCCCTGGAGATGGCCAACATGGGTGTCAGGCTTCATGGGGCAGAGTTCAGGAAATTCAGTCCAGCCATAGTTCAGTGTGCACTGAGCATGCCCCTATCTCAAGCCCTGTGCTTCATGGTCTAGTGGGGAAAGCAGACAAGGGCTGACCACAGGGCCGGCCCGGTGGCGCACTGGAGAGTGCGCCGCTTGGGAGCGCGGCGGCGCTCCTGCCG